TGACGACGGTTTCACCCTCATTTCGCGAGGAGATGGAGTCCGAGTACTCATGGAGGCCCTTCAAGTCTTGAGGTTCCGGTACAAGCAGGAGCGTCCGGACCTCGTGGGGAACGTTGTTACCCGCGTCGAGGAGCTCACCTTAGATGATCTTGACACGGAAGGCGAGATGTGACTCTTGTATCGTCTTCTGCGCAATTTCCTCACCAGTAGCAGTCGTTCTGTACATAACTCGTATTGTATATATAGCCCGTCTCTTTCCATACGCTCACAGTCGAAGCTGCGCGCATCTGAGTACCATATAAGGCCCAGCCGGTCAGCCCATCAAGCTGGAGCTGGGTGCGAGCTGGGCAGCTGGCTACGAATCAGCTGGATGCCGGCTCGGCTGGATCCGGCTGGCTTGCCCCACTTGATCAAGCTCCACCGGCTTGGCTTGGCTGGCTCGAATTGGCGGCAACACTAAAGCAATGAGACAATGGAGTCGGAAAAGGGCGCTTATCTGATTCTGTTAGCCGACATTCGCGGTTCCCAAAGAGGCAAGATGTCCAGCGCCTGTCTTTGCGTTCAACTTAGACCGCAACCACCATTGTCGTCCTCTCTCATTATCGCAATCACCCTCATCGTTCCTCTGCAGAGCCACAATACTCGCTGAAACCCAGTTTCCTTGCTACAGCTGCGGTGTCTATAGTGATCTACGTCGTCAACTACCACCTGCATTATGGCGACGGCCACTGTGGAACTCGAGCATGATGAATTCTGTCGTGCCTTCTTCCCCTACCCTGGACAGACGACTCCGACGTGGCTGAGATCTCGCATCGACTTCCACATGTTGAAGAGCGCGGATGCGCTGTCTCAACATGATCTTCCGGAGCTCTTCGTAAGTGGGAATCGCACACAATTGATGGTTTTGCTGACGACGTCGATAGATCCAGGCAATGAACCGCCACTGTTTTTCTTCCAGTTCGACACTATCGACCTATACCTGTGACTTTGACACCGAATCCACAGGTCCAATAACTCATGCTGCCATCTTCCGTGCCGAGGAGTCGTCCAGCAAAAGGCCACAGTCTTGGTTCGATCAGAGCGTCCCTGTCGTCTTCGTCCGTCATTTCACCGGTGGAGATCCTTTCGACCGCACACAGCTCGACGACGAGTATGGAGTAATGAAAGAAGAGAGCCAGCGAGTCTTCAAACATCTCACCAAGACCGTGGACCGTCTGTTCGCCGCTCAGCAGCGCGTCTTCCTCTACATGCTTCTCGTCATGGGCCGTAGGTGTCGTGTTCTACGTTGGGACAGAGCGGGTGTAACCGTTACGCCGGCCTCTGACTACTACGAGAGACCTCGCCTACTTCGCGACTATCTGTGGCGCCTTTCTAACATGGAATCGTCTGCACTCGGTTTTGATCCAAGTGCTACCCGCGTTCTCCCTGGCGACGTCGACTTCGTACGGATGGATTTCTCGGCGCTCCCGGACCCTACCGATGCAGACCACACCGAGCGCGATCTCACGGACGAAGTCCAGGAGCCCTCGACTTTCGCATATGTCCGCGCCATGTTCCGCGCCTCGCTCGCTTCCGATTGGCCTCGCTATCGGCTCCAAGTTCCTGACGGGAAAGAAACCCGCAGTTTCCTTGTCGGGAAACCTGTCTTCCGGGCCGATGGAGTATTGGGTCGCGGGACCCGCGGCTACGTCGCTCTTGACTGCGAGACGCATCGGTTTGTGTGGCTCAAAGACACATGGCGGGCAGCGTATATGATTGCGCAGAGAGAAGGGGACGTCTTGCAGAAGCTGAATCAGGCGGGCGTGGAATATATCCCGACGCTCGTTTGCCACGGCGACATCCTTGACCAGAGCACCAAGACCTTTGACTGGTGGGAACGCATCCATGCGCTCCCATCCATCCCGTCATCGTCCTCTCTCTCAACCGACGTCTCTCACTCCTCATCACGCACCCTAGTCGATCAACAACCTGTCGGCAAGCGGAAGAGAGCAGAGGATATTGGTGACGACACCAGCCTTCGGCGATCAAAAGGCCCTCTCACTCCCGACGTATCAGGACACTCGGGGTGCCCTTTGCAAGAGCACAAGCACTACCGAATAGTGGTTGAAGAGGTGGCCATACCGCTCAAGAAGTTCCGGAACGGAAAGCAGCTGGCTTCAGTCGTACTTGACGCAATTCAAGGTACGTCCTGGGGTGACCCTGAGGTGAATCTCTCGCCAACGACCTCTTCCGCAGCACATTTTCAAGCATCCACGAAGCCCCCGACTCCCGTTCTTCATCGCGATATTAGCTCGGGGAACATACTCATATACCCCAGGGTCCGGCGCCTCGAGGACGGCACGAGGTTAGCCATGGTTTGGACCGGCCTCCTCGTAGATTGGGAGCTGTCGAAGCCCATTCATGGTGAAAAGGCGTCGTCCAAAGCCACCCAAGCAGAACGTATGGTGAGAGTGTCCCTTACCGCGTCCGCGAAGCTGTGACTGATAGAAGGTGACTAGGGGACGTATCAGTTCATGTCGGTCAACCTCTTGACCCGCCCATGGAGTCTGGTCAAAATCTCGGACGAACTGGAATCGTTCTTCCACGTCCTCGTGTACAACTCCGTCCTCTACCTTCGCTCCAACTGCGATTGCCGCACCTCATACATCGACAATTATTTCAACGACTACGCTGGCCCAGCGCGCGCTCACACGTGCGGGTGGAAGTCGTTTGCCGTCGAGATCGACGACTGGCTTTGTACGCAGGTGCCCGATAGGAGTAGGCTCCTCTTCGATAGTCCGATGGACGACGTCTTTGGCGAGATACACAAGTGCTTGAAGGCGCACTACAAAAGCCTCAGCTATGACCTTGTGCAAGCGGCTCCTCCACGCCCCAAGGTGGTACGTCCTCCTCTCTCAGCCGACCTGAAGTTGCGCGCTCCCGTCGACATCTCGTGCCTGAGCATCCCGGAGGACATCGTCAAGAAGTTGAAAAACAGGCGCGTCAAGCATTTCCCGCCTCCAGACCCCACCCCGACACAGGAGGATAGGGAACGAGCGCGGAGGATCATGGAGCATCAGTTCATGATCGAGCACATCGCCAGGATACTCCGGAGTTCCCAGTGGCCTGAAGACGACCGTGTCGCTCCGGCTGAGGAATGCGCCCCCTCGTCCGACGATGCGAGGGCGGGCGTGCTTGCTCCAAGTACGACGCTCAGGAGCAACAAGCGGCGGCGGATTGCTGGCCCCGAACGCCATGTTTCCTTCCCCGCCCGTCTTCATGCGTCAACGCGCCGTACGCGAGTCGCAGCGTACACCGTTCCGGTTTTCGTGAGGGTGTAGCGATCTAACGATGTTCACGACGACGAGTACCTTCGTGCGTAGCATCCGCCACGGTGACGTCTACCATGTCTCCCGTCCTCTGTACATGTATCGACATCCCTCCCTTTCCATTGAACCTCTCGTCTCGCTATCGTATCGTGCTGGGTTGCTACTGTTGTGGAAGTCTATTGCTTTACATCCTAACTTATAACGTTTGCAGGTTTATTCTTCTCTAGATCTCTCATTCTATATAGTATCTGTAATGGTGCTGATTCTGTGGTATATACAATCTGCGCCCAAGGTCACACTGAGCGGATGTTCCATAAGCAACCTCTCACCACAGTGTCTCAACATCGGATGCAGACGTACCACGTCTTACACGCGCGCGCGTCTGTCGCTCATTCGTGTTCCCTCTCGTCAGTTGTGAGCGCAATATTCAATGTTTGGACGGATACAGACAGTACGAGCTCGATGGGGATTCTATCATAAACGGTGAGAAAACGTATTTGCCTAAGCTATCAAACACGCATCCCTTGAACCCAATTGATATATTATGCGAGCCAATGGTTGGTTCCAGTCACCTACCTCGGAAAAACCTCTCTCCATGACTCATAGACTTCGATCCCTGCGTTGCCGGTGATACCAAATGTTTGTGCACTCCAGTGTTGCTTCATGAGTCTACATCCATTTTGCACTCAAACTGGGTATAGATATTGACGGTAGGCCCGAGCAAGCGCTTGATCCTAAGTTGAACTCGGTCATTGACTACACCGTTGTTCCTTGATCCTCACTCATCCTAGACTGCTTATCATCGCTGTCAGGGTACCGCTTTCTGCCGGAGATCTACTCACATTTTAATCGCTACGTCGGGGTGCATCCGTCGGGTGGTAGAGCACCAGGACGGACGCATCCAAACTACTAAATACCTATAGTATACTCGTATGACTTCTGCTGCAAGATTAATTACGATTTTCCAATAGTAGTGGCAGAGAGAGCGAGGCGTCTACTGTATAGCGGTTTGACGTAGGTAGTGTTGCCGCCACTGATTCGAGCCAGCCAAGCCAAGCCGGTGGAGCTTGATCAAGTGGGGCAAGCCAGCCGGATCCAGCCGAGCCGGCATCCAGCTGATTCGTAGCCAGCTGCCCAGCTCGCACCCAGCTCCAGCTTGATGGGCTGACCGGCTGGGCCTTATATGGTACTCAGATGCGCGCAGCTTCGACTGTGAGCGTATGGAAAGAGACGGGCTATATATACAATACGAGTTATGTACAGAACGACTGCTACTGGTGAGGAAATTGCGCAGAAGACGATACAAGAGTCACATCTCGCCTTCCGTGTCAAGATCATCTAAGGTGAGCTCCTCGACGCGGGTAACAACGTTCCCCACGAGGTCCGGACGCTCCTGCTTGTACCGGAACCTCAAGACTTGAAGGGCCTCCATGAGTACTCGGACTCCATCTCCTCGCGAAATGAGGGTGAAACCGTCGTCA